GTGGAGATCTTTTTTAAACGTTGGAACCTCATTTAATTTTATGTCTTATAGAGTTTATAATGAGTAAAAGATTATATAAGGGTAATAATTCATCTGTAAACCTAGAAATGTACAGCCAATTTTGAAAGAGATGTACCCTAGCTCAGAAAAATGTTATTGAATAGGTTAATGCTGTTGTAATGAAATGCTTCTTTTAATTAAAAAAAAAAGTTAAAAAAAAAAAAAAAGAAGTTAGCACTGGCTTGGAGAGAAGAGAAAGTTTTATAAGACATGTATCTTAGCCAGGGCCATCTTTCCTAGCATCCCAAAGCAGCTGTTAAGATAATTTATGGATACAAACCATTTGAGAAGTGACCCCAGGATTCTTTGTGAGGGAATACAATAATGGCAATGCAATGGCAGAATAGCCAGGAAATGGGTACATTAATGAACAGACTATAGCTGTGGATGGCCGGAGCCCATTCCTGCTGAGGAACCTGTGGAGAGACCATACAGAATGTGCCTCAGAATCCTCACATGGAGGGACAGGAAGGGAGAGGGTCTTGCATGTTTCAGCTGCCAGGGAAAGACAGGCAGCTATTGGGATGTGCAGGACCCATGTTCAGCACCACCTTGAAGTGGGGTTGCCTTGTAAGTGGGCTACAACACCCCAGCGCAAGTTCACTATAGACAAAACAAAGAGAATCCAAACTTGGATAAAACAGTCTGGAAAACTGACATGATGACCGCTCTAAAAGCATATTAGTTAAGGAAAGGCTGTGGCAAGTGGTGTGAGGAGAAAAACACAGTCATAATAAGTCTTTGGAGTTAGCCACAGCTAATGAGCAGAGGAGGTTACAGACCGCAGCCTGAAAGTCCACAATGCAGAATCAGGAGCATTCTGAGTCACCCTTGAAAGTATTTCATGGTCATGATATGTCAAAACAGCTTCATGCCAGTCTTATGGTTACTATGGCTCTTTAGAAACATAAGGTTTATCCAACCCTATGAAAATTTTGCAAAATTTCAAGGAGAGCTGGACTGACATTTTCAAATCTTCAAATATTTATCTGCCTTTGGTTTCCTTGTCCTGGCCACCAATTTGCCTTTAACAGTTGGATCACATGCTTATTTAGTTGAAAACGTTTCCTTCATGTCCAGGGAAAAGATTACAGTGGGCTGAGGAAGGTGAGCTTTTGATGAAGGGATGTGTGAAGGCAAGACGCACCTGCATGCTGTCTTTCCCTCGGCAGAACTATGTGGAATTCCTGGGGCTATGCTCCCAAAGAGAGTCTAGCCTACCTCTCAGGCCTACATTATTAGAATAGTTTTCTCAAAGAAGCTGGCATTTCTGTATGTAAATTAATGAAAGTTTTCATTTAGAACATGATTCTTACTCAGTATTTATTTAGAGCTTCTTGTGTTCAAGGCACAATAAGGCGATAGAACTGTGATGAATAAGACA